AAAATGATTAACTGATTTGAAAAATTTATATCCATTTTCACAAATCACATTACTAAACTGTTTACATATGACAAAATATTTACTTCTAGAAAATAAAATAAATATTTTTCAATCGAATTAAATTAGTAGAAATAGAAATACCTATATGGGTTTGTTGAATAAAGAATTCTATAATGATAGTATTCTATAGCACTTAAAAATCGATAATCCAAAAAGAATTGTCGATCAATCCAAAATGAAGATTGAAATTGTTTGATTTGCTCATCAATTAAATCCAGATTCGTATCATAACCAACAGTGATGAAGAAATAGACATTAAATATGCGTAAATTTGGTAAATATAATGAAATAATTCGTTCCCATTCGTTAGCATTCAGAAATTGTATACCGGGTGAAAGATATAAAACTTGAACAAATGGAAAATAATTTACAAAAAGTTCTTCTAATTCAATAAATGTCATATTATCATATAATCGAAGAGAAACATGTGTCAAGTTCTTCATAAGGCAGGGAGACAGATTTGCCAGTTCGAACGAACGATCGTTTTTTAAAGATACTTTTAAATAACGAAGATAAGGAATATATGATAGAAAGTTACTCAGCTGGTACCATTCTATCCTCTCGTCAAAAACTAAATGTTCAATTGGACTAAAATTATTCATGGTACATGGTAATATATCATTGAGATCCTTATTAACTCCAGTTGATATTTTACAGAATTTCAATGAAGGTAATTGAAATATCTGTTGGTATATCGAAGCTTTATCATTATTAACCGGCTTTATTGTACTGATAGTCAATGATGTTAAGTTTAATAATGAAGTTAATTGATGAAGAAGATTTTTCAAGTATTTTGATTCGATATTTTCGATGATTAATGTTCGAAGAAATGTTTTCTCGGATAATGCAATTATTCGATTGTCAAACATGAAATAACTCGAAATCCGGAGAGTATCAATTCGATGTGTATTCGGTATGATTATATCATGATTGTAACGATTGAATGTCGATTGAGACATGGGAAAGAGATTGATTTTGATTGGAAGAATTGATTCCATTTGAAGAGAATGAAATCGATAGTTTAGATTAAAAAAACCTTGATAAACATGATAATAATCGAGATATTCAAATACTTCATAAATAACTTCATTAGAAAGATCTTCAAATTGTGAAATACTTTAACAAATGAAATCGGAGTTCGTAAGATATAATAAATATTTTTTAATGTTATACTCACTGATTGTTTATCTGTGTTGATTGTCTTTTTCCATCATTGACACTATGAAAATTATCAGTTCGACAATGTTCAATACTTTCCATTGAAAAATCTAAACTTTACAATCGCAATGGAACTCAGTAAAAACGTGGTTTAAATAGTGTTGAAAGTATAAATATGATTTACAAGAGAAAAGAGAACGAACTCAGATTGTTTGAATTACTTAAGTGCATGACTAATATGAAGCACGTAGAATTTGTTAAAAAATTCTGACAAAGAATAATATTCCTGAATTCTCTGATTTGAAGATAACACAATCATCGAATCTAATTAAAAAAGCTCACAAAATAATATTTCAAGATCCACATACATCTAAACCCTTTGACAATTTTTTCTATGAGCAATCTTTTATATTATATGAATATAAGAGAATTTTATTTTGTTAAGATCATAAAAACAAAGAAGAAAATCATGAATTTATGTTTATAATATTCAAGAAGAAATTTCATTTATTGTCCAAACGAGATGCACAGATTGTCCACTATAAATTGAGTTCCATTTTGTGTTCGATTATTATTCATGATTCCAGATCCTACTGTGATGATTATAGTGTCAGTGTGCGTACAGAAACCACAACCTACCCGCATAGCATAGCCAAACTTTGCCATAAAATTTATAAAATAACGCTCGTCGAGGGAGACTCGCATTACCCTCGACTGATTGAGTTATACTTCAGATAAAACTTGTTGCTACTACTCTATCCAGTGAATAACAGAAAATCAAGCAACTAGAACATGTTTTAAAGTAAGGTACGCAAAAACAAGTTGAAAAAAAGTTCTGTAAATATAAAAATTTAAACATTCTTAAGCGTGTGTATGACGTCCATGTGCTCATACAATATCATCCGAGAGAGAATGGAATTTTGACTGAGAATTTTGGAATATAGATTGACTTTGAAGTCAGTTGTAATTCAATTGATAACCGTATCTAGTGAAATATGTAACTCTGTGATTTTGAACTCGAGAATAATATTGTAGCTGGTAGAATTGGCGTTATGAATGTTGTCGGTTTGAATACAGCACTATTCAGAACTGACAACGGAATGGATTTGTTCTCGCGTAAGCTTTACTTTGTCTTTGCGTTGCAAATGTTGACTTTCTCACTTGTTTAACTCGAGCTAGATTCAAATGTAAACGATTGATTGTATTTTCAGTTCTATTATCCTCTTCCGTTACAGATATATCGGTTTCAATTCTAAGATATTTACAATCTATTTGTACATGTGGGTAAAATGACTTCTCATCGTTTCATTTTTCTCTCCTAAGAAATCTGCTTCCCGTAAAGGTTTTGATTTTCATGAGGAACAAGGCAAAGAATGCTGTAATATGCTAACTCGATAGATCAAACCTTTTACACTAGTTCTTTACCATTTTAGGCTTTCAGATCGACACTCACCGCTTTCGCTGCTGCACTCATGAATATGCAGAGCTACTTCATAGCTACCTTCCTTTCGTTCTTACATTATTGGCTTTGCATGTGTCACTAATACAAATATTTTAGAGAGCTCACCTTCCATGACGCGTATTGTTCGCTTCTAGTCATCGTTGATTACTTCTCTGGACTCATAGTTCCTCTGCTGCGCGCACTTCTGCAAAACGCTCTGTTGTTGTTGAGCCCATGCGGGGTACCCCAGGCTAAATGTTACCTTCCACTTCTCTAGATATACTTTGTATGATCACAACCCTCACCCACACCCTCGTTTACAAAGAAGGTGTTTTAGGCTTTTTACCTTTTTACTTCATAAAATGAAGTCTGCCGCTATTTGATTGAGTGCCAACGCCTGCCAAAGCTGTTCCTGACACCTTTGGGTCCTCAATCAGGTGGCCGAGCGATCTCTTTCCGGTATCCATCAGCGCTTGATATTTTCCTACAAAGCCTCGAAGTCTCCAATACCGTGTAGATCGACTACTGATCTCTAAATCCCTTCGAAACGATGTTTTACGAAGTTTTAAACATTTCCAGGAAAATGTTTTTTTGACCTTTGACCCTTGACCTGCGACAGACAAACAAACGAATTTCAGTTTTTTGACCACTTTTTTTCGACATGACCCTCCTTACAGTCGAGGGAATAACTCAAAAGCCTTTTCATACGGCAAGTATATTGATTATTTCCAGACAAAAAATCGATCACTTTTTCGGGAAGGAAAGAAAAGATAAATAAAGGAGTATGGAATGTGTAACGCCTAACGCATCTAGATATTGGTTATTTGAAATTAAAGAATAAATTGAAACCTATTGAATATCTCAAAAAATACACCGCCCTTATATTGATAATATCATATCAAAGCACATCTACATAACACAAATTAGTTACTCAAGTGCATCATCTTCGTTTTTAGCATTATATAAAGGTAAATATAGACGTAAATAAAGAGTCATTTTCTTCACTATGATTAATCGTTTCATAGTATTGTAATGAACGCGATTTTGTTTTAAAACAACATTTGTGTAAATGCGATAGATACAAGTACAACTGAAATGCATATCTAGTAGATTAGTAATCTGTTTTTTTCGAAGAATTGTTCATGATAAAATCTGAATGCTTACTTTAATTTGTGTATCATTTTAGATGCCAAATGGTGATGATGTTCTTGAAGCACTTCGTTCTTCCATCGGTTTAGTATCTTTAGTTTACATTTGTCGGCTATATATGAAATTATCAACTTTTCCATCAATAATCTTACCATCTACTGCTCGAACACATCTCATAAAACAAGCAGTCACTGATCGCTATAACAACAGCCATACAACTGAAGATATCATAATGGTAACAAATATGATAGAGATAAATAAAGATTTTATCGATCGAGTACTGTTATTATCAGATATGGACAGAAATAGCATTACACTTGATATAAATCACATCACAATGGATGTTTTAAATGATATGATTTTATTTCCATTTACCAATATTTGTATTGATTGCACAAGATCTCTTACTTCTTATCGATACAAATCAGTCCATATTATTGACTGTTTTAAAACTAATCGAGCAGTAGCTGTAACTGCTGAGTGTAAAACATGTACATTAATTTACAATCATTCGTCATGGTATTCATTAAAATATCGATGGCGAAAAATCAATAATTCATCATTAAATAGCATACTCAAGGTTTTTTATTTATGTGATTCCTTTGGATTTACGTATTCGGTTTTCTTCGATTATACATGCCAACTTTTACATGACCAGTGTCCATTCCAATCTTTTTCTCGAATATTGATTGATAGATATAATTATGAACATCAAAACAACAATATCATCCTACAGCCTATTCCATTAGCAAAATTATTTCAATCTCATTCGTTATTATATCAAATTGTACGCTTCGAATTTATGTTGGGAAAGACACGGATAGTAAATTTACCTGTTTCACTTAATCGGAATGAACTCAATTACCATTTTGAATGCTATTCTGGCTGGTGGCATCATCTGTTTACTACATTTTGGTCAAGACATAAATCAATTCCAAATATTAAATGTTCTCCATCAGATTGTAGTCGATGTGTTATTGTCGATGGGCATCAAAAGTGTCGACGATTAGTGTGTAGTTTTAAAAATATTGTCGATACTTCCATTGAAGAAATGACTTCCGTTGAAATAGGTTGTCCATATACACCTTGTCGAAGAATGCAATCGTCAGATTCAGGTAAATACAGAATTATTCGTTGCTGTCATTTATATTATTTTATTCTAGTGGATGCAATTTATTGTCGATATCATCAACCCTCAATTCTTTTATCGCCGTCTCTTGATTTACAAAAAGCTAGTGAAAGAGCTGCTGAATTTTCGGTAATAATACTGTATTTACGAAGTCAGTTTTAGAAATTAAGAATACAAGTACTTCGACAAATATACCATCTTGAAATGATATAACGTGAATTATACTCATTAGACCTATTACAGCTCAATAAGATAGCTTATAGCCTTTCCAATTATTACGACTCAAAGATGAATCACCTTTTAGAAATTCATACCACTTAATTTCGTATAGACAACTATGCAATTGTGAATCTGTTCAACAGTTTGATGGACAGAAAAGTTTCACATGCATTTTCTATCTCATATAGAATGAGATTTTATTTCAGTTGTATTAATTTGATACAATAATTGTATTTTTTTTCTTAATTTAGAGATGGGACAGAGATTTCCTGTCAGAACATAAAGCCCAATGCCGAAACTATCGTAATGATAGCGAAGAAATTAAGTAAAATAAAACGTATGGCATATTAGCATCGTATCATCCATGTGGAGTGGCAGTCGGCTTTACGGAAGCAATAAAAGCTGAGGGTATGTTCATTTAAAAACTTCTGTAAATAAGATTTGATGTTGTTGAGTTACAGAGTTTTGAACTCATATAAAAAGTCTTGTTTATTTATTTTTTTCTAGGAATGCGATCAATTACACGGCATCTTCTTTTGATGATCATTTGTGGTTGTCTTATGCCAGATGCGCTAATGTATGCCTGTGCTTGTACACTAAAGCTTCATTGGAATAAATGGCTTGGCACAGAAATGTTAAAGATGTCGACAAGAACACAACAGCTTCCAACCCATCTTGCTCTCGACAACTTCCATCAAAAAACACATTCGAGAGCAATGTGTTAGACCATTATGAACTCTGACCATCCATCACATGAAGGACGATTCGTTGGCTTAAACAGTCAAGCAGCTGAACAAGCTTTTCAATATATATCACGTGCCAAATTTGCATTACGAAATTTCTCATTTCCTCATTCGACAGCGATGCTGTTGATTATGCTGCATCTCTTGAACTGCAAAATGACTGGCATCAATTCAGAAATAATTGGCGTGGAATTTCTACATTTTGGTGACATAATCAAAGACTTTTTTGCGACACCATGTATATATGAACGCTTCGGTACGTTAAATGGTGAAGAATTAAGCAAAGATGACGATGATGATCAGTCAGATCTTGATCACAATATTACGTTCGAAGATATGCCATAGTTTCGTCTACATTATTTTCTCCCAAATAACGTCCTTTTCACTATCGTAGAATTATACCCATGTTGTAACTAGTATTCCATATGTAAATTGTCTTCTTCTTGATTTTCTTCTATATTTGTTATCTAAAACTTGAAAATAAATACATGTTTTGAACTGATTCATTAGATATTAGATGAACTGGTTTAATGCATTATATGATAAGAAATCTTGCACATTTAACTACTAATCATATTTTAATACTTTTCTTTTGGTTGAAAAATTATCATTATCTTCATTACTTATATATCATGATATTAGATAATAGAATATGAAATAGAAAAACAAAGAATATTTTTATTGATGACATATTGATACTTAGTCCTGTTAGTTCTTCATTATGTCATTAACACAAGGAAAAAGAATTTTGAGACCAATATTTTTCTTTTCTTTCTGAAATAAAAAGACCAATTAGAAAATCGTTTTTTTTTAATAATTTTTTTTGCTTATAATACCACTTGACCATAAAATATTTTTCAACGTCATTTTGTAGCTAATCATAATGAAACTAATATTTCTCCCTCAAGATTATATTTGAATATCTGAATTATTTTTTATTATTTCAATAAAATTAATTACTTAACTCTCCCAAATGTTAATTTTAATAGATATTAAATTTATTTCTTTCGTAAATTGTCATAAATTTAAATATTAAGTTAAAAATAAATATCTTTTCATCATTTTAATTATGAGATCAAACCGTTTGATTTTATAATTAAATTCCATGGATAAGTAGAAGTAGAAGACACAATTTCATCTAAATTAAAAATTCAATCGATTTTGGCATTGCTATGAATTTTTATCTTACTTTTATCATTTCTTTTGATTAAAACTTTATTTTAATTTTTTTTCTGTCAACTTTCATCTAAACATACAAAGCCTTCAGGGGTTTGCTTTGATTTAGATGCTTCGACTCCGCGAAATATTTTGGCATTATATAATCGTCGAACATGTACCAGTGTATAGGGTGAAGAAGTATTATCGGCCCGTTCTTCT